TTGTTGCCAAAAAATGCTAAGGGGTGATTATTATTATTTTTTAAAAAAAAATTTGTATTTCTCCGACAAAAGATCACATAGGTATTTCTTTCAATGCTTTCTTATTGAAATCTCTCCAAGCAAAGGAATCATTCGACTCTAGTTAAGTACACCGAGCCAAATGGTAAAAGTTACTAAACCTAATTGTTATGAGTTTCAAGCCTCAGAGATCTTAGGGGTGGTCATGGACTCGATGGCTAGACTCGACCTAAGTCTAGGTATGGGTTAAAAAATTCTGGGTCCAAATTTTAGACCCAAACACCATTCGGATCTAGGACCAGGCCCTGGTCCAATATTTTTCAATTTATGAAAATATATTAAATACATAAATATTGTAATTTTTGAGTCGGATCCAATCGGGCCTAGGTCCAGGTCCAAGTCCGAGTCTGGGTCACTCGGCCGCATCCGTTGCCAACCCTAAGAGATGAGTTGTTGTTTTTGGGGGGAGTAGTTTCTTTTGGGTGTGGTTTGTATAGAGCCTCCAAACAATCAAATTAGAGCCTACCTTCAAATAGCATCAAAAAACGTGATTTGATTTCAATAAGGGAAAACAATCAAATTAGAGCCTACCTTCAAATAGCATCAAAAAACGTGATTTCAATAAGGGAAATCTTTGTGATAGCTTTAAAATATATTTTCATTTTTATTTATAAAGTTTAAAGCTTCAAAAATAGTGTAGATCAAGCAGATCTATAAAAATTTAAAAATCTTGAAAATTGAAGGTCCAAAAATACATTACAAAATACACTTTCTAAAACTTGAAATTCATTTTTTTCTCATACCCATACATCTTGATGTCGAGATGATCAATTGGAAGATATTTGGGCATCAAAACAACCTTTTCTAGTGAAATGTTTGAGGTAGGCTGATAGGCTCTAATTTGATTGTTTAGGACCTCATCTCTATATAAATTTTTCCCTTTTTTTTTGGTTAGCGGTATTAAATATCAACTGCTAACCACTCAAGTACAAGCCCAATTCCATCTCATGGCTCTTGATATGGAAACAAAAGAATAAATGACACCTTGATATTTTGACCCATTTGTGTTAAGGCATAAATTTAAAAGATACCTCTCGCGTAATGGAGGCACATGAATGACTCCTTTAAAAGCAATCACCTGAGTTAATTCGCCCATTGTGATGATATTTTAGTTATAAAGTGGTTTGACCATTTTGATGATATCTTACCTGAAACAAAGCTTATTTGAAGTGGTTTCTTACCTGAAGCAGAATTTTATCTAAAGCAAAACTCAATATATCCAGTAATCACAACTACCAATAGTATATGGGAAAGGGGCTGCGGTTGCGTTAGAACAGAGAACAGATGCCTATTCAAAAACAAGAGCATCACAAATCCCTTGGTCTTCATTTTGAATGTTAAACCATCACAGAAGAGGAGGATAAGAAGAAATTAGAGCTCATGTTTACAGAGAACTCAGATTTGAGTGGAAGTGCTTTACAACATTCGATTCTTCAAGCGGGATATTTTACATTTAAAATCTAACTTTTTTAATCTGAAGGTCAATCCACCAAAAGGTCTTCAAAGACAGTGGTATATCATGAAATGAAGATCAGAGACACAAGTTTCTACTTAGCAAAAATATGAAGAAATTCTGTTTTTGCCATTCTTATAGGACAATAACAAGGCCAGAAATTTTGCTTTCCTAGCATAAGAATGCTTGGAAGATGGATTTCCATCATGGAAGCTTGACTTAACCTCTTTTGATGATTCGACAAAGATACATGTAAATAACTCTGTTAAATCAAATAATTAAGGCACCTCAATAATATTTCACAGAAGAAACTTAAGATTACTATTAAGAGAATGCTCACAAAGATAAAACTCTTGATTAAAATTGACACATTTTCTTGCAAAGAAAACCAAAAGTAGACATACAGTCATAGTAGGTATTCATTTTCGACAATGAAGATAAAAGGTTTTTTACAGAAAATGTCAAGGGATCAACAACATCACCAAGGCCCATGATCCATCCTCCATATGTTTCTGGACAAGTCGATAGTCATTCTTACATCTATGAACTATCATGTAGTAAACCCTGCAAAAACACATGCAAGAGGTTAATTGTCTAAGGATTTACAGTAAATACCACTTGAAAAAATGACAATAATCAGGATCTAGACTCAAGTTTGCAAATGCAATATAATGTATGTCTTACACAATGTGCGACTCCTGTGTTTTTCTTTTTTCTTTTTTCTTTTTCTCATTGAGTCCATATAAAATCACTTGTATATAAGAGTAGCAGAAAAAGTATTCATTTTGGAAAGTATTTATAAACAAATTTGATAGAAAAACCAAAGTTCAAGAAAAATATGAGAAAAATAAAAGAACATTAAATTAGAATAATGGTACAAATTGGGATTCTAATAGCATAAGCATGATTTTGATTATGATGCCAACACGTGCCAATTGCATCTCCATTAAGTTTTAATGCGCTTCGAGCAAATAGAAGAGTTCAAGAAATGCAAAAGTTGACATATGCATTAGTGGTACAATCAGAGGATACATAAATTGCTCAAAAACCACGATATGCCCACATCAAGACCATTAAGTAGTGTCATTATAGACTAAATTTTAGTCTAAAAACCAATTAGATTCTTCATTCTCTAAAAAGATAAACCAGTTTGTCAATATCATGAAAGAACAGACCAATCTTCAGTTTTTATGGAAAAAAAAGTGAACAGAAAAGGGAATAAGAAAAAAACCTTAAAAAGAAGAAATATTTTAAATTGCATAACGGTAAAATGTAAACACAAGAAAAGCTGATGCCAGTCCTTAAGAAAAGCTTAATACAAGAAAAATTCTACAAGCAAATTGAAAAGGAAAAAAGCACAAGCTCAAGAGACATGCTATTGGCGTTACCATATACAAAAGGAAAGAAACAAGCATCATCAAGAGAGAAAAAAATATTGTGAGAGCACTTGAGTCAAACAATGCCGTCAAGGCAAATGCATTTCTCATCCTAAAAACTATAAAATGCTCATAGCCCAAAGCATTTCTATTGTAATAGGTAGTCTTTACTCAACTAAACATAATACTCTTACTGTGCGTTTTGCTTTCAAAAGACAAGACTAAACATCAGAGAACAACATCATCATCATAATCATCCGAGCCTTATCCCAACTATTTGAAGTTGGCTACACAAATCTAGTTCTATCATGCTGCTCTATCAAGGGCTATCCTCAACAAAAACATAGGTCACCAAATCTTTTCTCATTACTTTCATCTATGTCCTTTTGGGCTTGCCCCTAACCCTTCTAGAGCCTTCCACTTGAACCAAATCACACCTTCTAACTGGTGTTGTATTAGGCATATGTTGCACACGACAAGCCTATTTAAGTCTATTTTCCCTCATCTTATCGACTATTAAAGTCATACCTAAATTCCCTTGAATGTGTTTATTCTGAATTCTATACTTTCTTGTCGTGCCACTTATTCATCTCAACATCCTCATTTCAGCAAAACTCATCTTATGGATATGTTGTTTCTTAAACGTCCAACATTCCGTCCCATAAGCATTGTTGGTCTAATAGCTATCCTATCGACTTTCCTTTCAGTTTCATTGGTATATGTGACCATCAGAGAACGACTAATAATAAAAAATTAATCCATCATTCTATAGTTAAAAACTAGAACAGGGAAACGACAAAGTATCTTCAAATGAAGAAAAGGAAAGAAAAAGAAAGAACAAAGAGGTAAAAAATTCAATTTCTATCTCTTCAGTCATATCTGATAAAAAAGGAACGTTACAAAGGAGATCAGAATGGCCACTTCACAAGGATGACAAGCACAAAATGAGGAATGGTCCCAGCCAATGCAGCAAAAAGAAAAAAAAAAGAAAACATGAATTCAAGAAAGTCAAAAGTTATACAATGCTTACTAAACTAAATATTCTTATTACATTTTTGTTTAAAAAGGACAAGGCTATTGAGCATCAAAGAATAATAAACAATCAAAACTAGAATGAGGTAGTAATAACAGAATAAAAAGAAGGAAAGAAGAAAAGAGAAAAGAAAACATGAAGTTCTTTGAGTCATACAATGCAGTCTAGGCAAATGTGATTCCTTCAATTTATGCATAAATTGATCAGAGCCCAATGCACTTCATCATTTCAACCTAAACATTGTTTTTTTTTTCAAAAGATAAGACTATAAGCATGATAGAACAATATAAAATCAAAACAACTTTTGGATTTTCCAGTAAGAATGACAGAAAAATAAATAAACGAAGAAAAAAAAAAAAAACAGAAAAGGAAAAAAACATTAGATGAAGAAAGTTTATGTAGCCCAGATAATTCTTGCTTGGGAATGCAATTTCATCAATTTGCATAAATTGCTCAGAGACCTATGCTTTTCATCATTCTATCACTGAAAAACCCAATACCTATGACCTCTTCTTGTCCAGACAACAACGTTCGGAAACTGGGTCCTCTCACTTGAAAAGAACACTGTCAACTGACCACTTTAACACCAACCCCCATGATAAAAGATGACCATCTAATTAGCTCTGTAACTTTCAGAGGTTCTAAGTGTGTTTTCACTAACCCTGAATTGATATTTAATAGAAGTCTATTCACAATTTTAGTAGAGCCCAAACATTTTTACAACTAGAAAACATACATAAAGGTCAAATAGAGAAACACTGTATTCTTGTTACTCAGAGATAGCAGCAACCAAAATATGAACAGTAAAGGGTTGATTTCCCAGATTAATGAAACATGTGAAACCAAATATAAAACTTCAGCCCACTGACAAAACTGTGACAAATTCAAACTCACACGTCTCAAGGACAAGCACAACACCAACGCATCAAGAAGTAACTAAAAGTGATACATGCCAGCTGAATTATTATATTCATTTGGGGGAAAGTTTCTACAAACAAATTTTCAGTGACAGCACAAATTTCTACATTTCAGATCATTCATCTATGTCTTGAAGGGTCTGGAGATTATAGATGAGCGCAGTTACTCAAAATTCAAGTGCAAAGCCTAATCCCCCTTCTCAATTTTTATAAGAAAAAGTGTTTTGTGAGTCAGCAAACTCACTAGCGCACACAATGACAAACATCCATCTTTAAGATGAACATCCACAACTAAAGATTCCTATCCAATGGATAGGAAACTATTCTAATAAAAATGTTTTAAAATTTTATTTTATTATATTGTATCTTTTATATTCATGATCATCATCGTGTAGATCATATCGATCCAAGATACATATAATGGGTGTTCAAGGGAGCCCGCATGAACAGGGGACTCATAAGAACCGGGTCCTTTTTATAAAGGCCCAAACAACATCTTACAAAAATAATCACCTGACGTCAACCAAAACCAACTAGGAAACTGAAACTTTAGACTCCAATTTAGACAAACATAAAAAACAACTCATAAATCTCATGCTCAAAGGAATTTGGATGAGAAGGAAAAGAACCTGGAAGCAGCATCTGGTATACACCATCAATTGGATCATGGCACATAGTTCAAACGTATTCAGCGTCTTATTATGTTCTTCAGAAAAGGTCAATTCGTCCATTATGTACAAGCTCTTTTATTTGCTTATATCGAAGGATCCACAGGTCATCAGCGACCATATCAATGGGATTATCACTGGGATACAGCAGCCAGAAATTAGTACATAAAGGTAAGGGCACATGCCATGCTTAGATAGCAATAGTAAAAATGACATAATCCTTTTTGCTAGAAACAATAATAATCATAGTATAGACTAAAGAGGAATTATAAGGTAGAACCCATTCTGCTTCAACTATGCCTGAGAGAACGAGAAAGGGAAGGTGTGGGGAGTAATATTGTGTTGGAGGAACCACCAGAACATGACAAGACAAGTAGCAAGTGACCTCCTTCCCCCCCTCCACCCTCTAGCACAGATAAGGTAGAACCAGTTCTCCATAATCATTCCATACAAGTGACATTACTGGGATTGTATACAAGGGACTTGATTAACCAAATAATTACAAAGTAAAACAGAATTATAAATTGTTTCATACTAATAATAATAAAAAATAATGCCACTAAAACATACGAATCGTCGAGCTGGAAAGGACCGAGATCTCCTCTGCTTTTACAGAAGACAAATGTGTCCAAGGGAGGCTCGGGAACTGAAGATGCAAAATTGTCACATCAGACCATGAGCAGAGATGGCATCTTTGCAGACCAAATGCATGTAAAAAGCCTAAAACAGTACGCATTGCATCTATAGATGCTCCACACAAGATATTTGATATCAACCTTATTGGCCAAAAAAAAAAAACAAAAAGGAAATTTGTTCATCTCTTTGGTGCCAATAAGGTTAATGTTCATTTAGGATAATGTTGTGTTCAGAATAAAAATAGTATGTTAGTGTTCATTTAACATTGTCCAGTGGTCCAGGCAGCCTATTTGCTAATTTAATGACAAAATGATTGTGAGATATGTTTGGTAAGGGTACCCATGTCATCATCTTCACTTGCTAGGGATTGCTTCAATACGTCTTTGTATCCATCAGGTAATTTGCCTAATACAGATTGCTCAAGATGCTCTTTCATGATAATGATACACCTGAGAATAAACTGAATGTATTCAAAATTCACAACCAGAAGGTAATAAACAAAGTAACATGACAAAAAGTAATAAGAAAATTATATGACTTCCAAACCCAGTAATTCATTATGCATTCCACTATAAAAAAGTTATCATGCATTTACACATTAAACATTTAATTCATCACTATAACAATGCGCATCATGGGTCACTCTGATAAGTAAAAGAGTATCAACAAATTTCATCACACACACACACGCACACGCACACGCACACGCACACGCACACGCACACACACACACACACACATATATATATATATAGAGAGAGAGAGAGAGAGGATGTGACCTTTGAGCAAAAGCCTGTTCTTGTGATGAGAGCCTGCCCCAAAGATCCGTTTTTGAAATGTGGATTGTATATTTTTCAATCTGTAGCATTGATTTCACAAGAGGACTCATAGAACTCACCATGATGGATGGAAACATCCACAATTAACAAGATCAATCATAACAACGGCCACTTACCTTTTGAAGCCGAATCCGCAGGTATGATCTCAATAGATACAATGTGCGATCTAGATCCATTTGATAGAGGGATATCATAAGTTCATCTTTGCCCTCAGCTCTTAATTCCTCCACTGTTTGTTCCTAAAGAAACAAGCCCGCCAAGCCAAAATCATTCCCATATGTGTCCTTAATAAAACTCAAATGATAAATTTGTGCATAACCAATAACTAAGGTCTTATATACTTTTCAGTTTAGGTACAAACAGCATTTAAACTCAAAAAAAGATCGATTAAAGCAACAATGTCCATACCACAGGGCTAAGGTGGTTGACCACACATCTGTATTTCTACCTCCAAAATAGAAGTGGGAGAAGAATTTCAAATAGCTTATATCATCATATGGGATGTATGTAATACAGGTCATATATACCTATACAATCAGACTATTAGAGACTGCCCTGCTTCTAAATGACTGCCTAGGCACTAGGGAGCGACCCTTTTTAATGGTTAACAGCATTAATATTTTGTTATATACAAAACTTTACCCGCAGTTGTGACTCTCAAAACATACATTTCAGATTTCCAAAAGGGGAGAATTGCATGAACTGGAAATCATGTGGAGAAACCTGGCACGAAAGTCAGCTATTGATAACAACTGGAAAGATATGAAGATCTGTCACTCCATAAAAAATGATTCAAAATGTCTGCTCTGTTTTATCAAATCGTACATCCCAAAAATGTACCCAGACAAGTGAAGAACAGGATGAATGTTCACTAACATGGTGAATATTCACTAACTTCTGCTTATTGTATAGTGCCAAAAGATATTATACTCCTGGAGGAACATCCTGTCTTCAACCGATAAATTAACCTGAATTAAAAAATCCCGAAGTGCACCCTCTATGCACTTGGAAAAAATAATGTCTCTGGATTGAATAGAGACCATCCAATTTTTAAATGGTGAGATCTAAGTGTTAGAAAACTCAAATTTCATTTTTTTTTTTTCTTTTGAGAATAATCATCTAGTGATTCTTAGGTGGTTCCCAAAATTTTGGATTGAAAAAAATCCTCCCAAGTAGTCTTCTGACTGAGGAATTAAAAGTAAACCATGCTTCCAAGGGACAATAGCAGAGTGCTCATCTATGATTAAGTTTACACTCCAGAAAATCACAAAACAAATACTTATAAACTCATGGCCCATAGAGCAATCCATCAAAGTCACATTGATTCAGCACAAAATAGGAAGCAATGTGAAGCGTAAGTTCTTTCAAAATTAAACAAATTTAGCTCAAGGAATCAAGCTTTTTGATAACTTACTAACAGCTCAATCTGTTCTCGCACTCTCTCAACCAATGGTTCCTCGAAACGAAGGATTTCAGGTGAAGCTTTCTCATTCCTCCAAGCACGTTTAAGAAGCTCAACATCAGTAGAAGCAGCAACTTCAGGGTCTTGAGTCCAAAATGTATCCTCAGAACCAGATGCCATGGTGAAACCCTAGCTCACTTAAATGAGCAGAAAACATCGACCATTTGTAAGGGTAGAAAAACAAAAAGGCAAGCACGGTCAAAGTTTACTTCACCTACAGGGTTGAAAACCCTAGATGACAGGCAATTTCCATGAGTAGCAAAATAATAAAAGGCCACCTATGATAAAAGCCTAGCCCGATTAAAAGTTTGGAAAACCAAGATCACCATACACTTTTAAGGGAACAAGAACAAGAGAACCTAAGCACATGGCGAAACCAAAGCTAGCTGACAAGGGTAAAAACCCTACATCACTGCATTTGCAGAGGTGAAAAGACAGATGATCAAACCATTAACAAGGGTAAGAGACACCCCACATCAGACACGCATGAACAAAAACAGTTATACAATCAAATCGTGGCCCTAAAATGCGCAGTGTTAAAATGTGATTCATCAAATTCGCATTCAAAAGTGTGTGCTTTTACCCACCTCACTTCGCACCAAAAGAACAACCGCACAGTCATAGTCAAAATAACCTCACATTCTGTTAACAAATTGTTCATTTTGTAAATAGAATGCACACACAGTTTCTTTGTATGCTAAACCCTGTAGGGAAAGTCTCAGCTCCATGATTCAGCACCACTACAAAAGTATAGACAATTTTTTATGCTATGCGTCCATGCATAACTATTTTCCAAATATCAGAGCAAATCTATGAAAAAACATCACAGCCCTGATATCAAATTGAAAGCAATTAAAAACAATGAAGATTAATAACAAAGAAAGTTAAGAACATTGAAGTAAATACCTGAAATTTCTTCAAGGGTTTGAAGGGAGAGGACGGGACGAAACGAGAGCCGATGGCCACAAATAAGGGCTAGAAGAAAGAGAGCAAGAGAGAGAGAGAGAGAAGCTGGTTACAGAGAGAAAAGAGACAAAGATAGCAACCAGAGCAGAGAGATGGAGGGTTTAGAGAGAGGAAAAATGGGTAAGGCTAGAGAGAGAAGAGGGGCTTGGCCACGGTGTGGAGAGAGAGAGCGCGCGCTTAGGTAGAGAGAGAAAACCTTGGGGTTACAGAGAACTGGGGAAATACGCAGTGATCGGAAAAATGCGTTTTCTCAGCTTTATTTTGCCGGTTACGAAATGTGGCCTTAGAGGAAAAAGGCGGGAAACAATCGCATTTCCTTTCATTTTGCACGTGACAACCAAGGTGCTGAGATTCTCCCGCGGCAGTGCGAAATCTAATGGTTTTTTTATAAAAATTTTATATATAGCCGAGGCCCTAAACAAACAAATTCAAGACAAACTCAAAATTTTTACTAGAAGATGTTGTTTTGGTGCCAAAATATCCTCAAATTGATCATCTCGATGTCAAGATGTATAAACATGAGAAAAAAATAGATTTTAATTTTTGAAAATCATGCATATTACAACGCATTTTTTTACTGTCAATTTTCAAGCTTTCATAAATCCGCTAGATCTACACTATTTTTTAAGTTTTAAATGTTATAATTAAAAATAAAATTATATTTCAAGGCTATCACAAAGATCTTCAATATTAAAACCATATTTCTCGATACTATTTAAAGGCGTGCTTTAATTTAATTGTTTAGAGCCTTAGCTCTATACAAACCGCACCACAAAAAAAAGGGGGCATTCTATTTCTATGTTGAAAAAGGCCTTTTGTAAGTTCGCGGACTCACCATCGTGCACAATCACAAACAAACGTCCATTCGCTATCCAATGGATAGGAAAATATTCTAATAAAAATATTTTAAAACTTTATTTTATTTTTTATATTAATGATCGTCATAATGTAGACTTTGAAAACTACAAATTTGGATCCAACAGCGATACAAATAATAGGTGTTCAAGGGAGCCCAATAATATGAGTCGAGCAATTCATAAAAACCGGATCCTTTATGCCAATTAGAATTTTAGGAAAAATATCTCCAAGCCCTGTCCTTATTTTTAAGTTTTATATCTTAATAGATTTCAAGTTTCAAAACATATCCTATATCATACAATTTTTAATTTTTGTTTGTTTTAACCTTTAAGCTATTTTTTTAGTTTTTATTTTTTAAACCTATTTTTTTACCCTAAATAAATATAAAAAAAAACATATTTTTTCTCTCCACCCGTGTCTCACACTCGCTCTCTCCCCTGTAAGGATTGATTGCGGGCTCCGACATAGCATGGGCTCCCATTAGATAGACAGAGAGTAATAAAAAACGAGAAAATGAGGTGGAGCTCTCAGACATGGCTACCGTGGCTATATGTGACCACATTTGCCCCTGCTCTTTCTTCTTCAACAACCCTAATATCAAGCCCCAATTCGCTTCTTCTTATTCTTCTTCGCTTTCTTCTTATCGGTTGTTGTCGACTGGTTATCGAGGGCCGGCACGGGATACTGCTGCCTGAGTACAGGAGGGTGAAGGGGTTGACAGAGGAGATGTGGGCACAGTTGGAGGTGAGGGGTGGGCAAAATAGGAATTGGGGGTGGGTTTGTCGAGAGGGTGGAGATGTTGATGGTCTGGTTTGGGATGTTAGGAACAGGAGTTGAAGGCATTGTGTGTCAACTATGATTTGTTTGACGAGATTGTTGAAGGCAGGAAGAAGTTGTTGGAGATTTGCAGCAGGAATAGGTAGAGAGAGAGAGAACACTTCTCTCTAGCTCTTCACTTTTTTTATGCTCTTGATGTAGGCTTTCAGCCCAGTTATCTCTCTCTCCACCCTTTGGCAGCATGAACTGTGGCTTGCTTGAATCAGAGGCCTCTCTTCTTTCCCATATTTTTGCAGAAGAGAGAGAAATCACTCTTCCTCTATCTCTCTCTAACTATCTTCGAAAGCTGAGGACACCGGATTTGGATCAGATAGTTGTTGGGTTATGTGAAAACACTGAAGATATTTACCGTTTTAGGTATCAGGAAACATCTCTCTAATTTAATAGTTTATTTTGAAAAAAAGTCGAGTAAAAAGGAAGGAAAGAGGTTAAAAGCTTCAAAGCCTGCCCACATTTTCCCTCTGCAATCGGATGTAAAATGCCAAAAAAAACACCCAATTTTTTTTTGAAAAGCTTCCTCTTGTTTCGCTCTCTTAACACATTTTCCGCCTGTTATCAGACATATCACGCACACTAACAGTTTGGTTTGGTTTGGTTTGGTTCCAGAGAGTTAGAGAGAGATAATGGCTTCTCCGTCAATGTGATCTTCATTTTCCGTTAGAAAATACTGATGGGTTTTGATTTGTAATTATTAGCATTCCACTGCTGAAAATGCATTTGTGCAGAGAGAGAGAGAGAGAGAGGATTTTGTTTTTAGAGAGAGAAATATGAGGGAATGATTTACTTAAAGAGATAAATGAATGATTTTAAATGCGTATGTTTTTTTTATATTTATTAGGATTAGAAAGTTAATTAAAAGTAGGTACAGTTAGTCAAAAGGTTAAAAGATATATTTTGAATATTTTGGTCTATTGATATATGAAAACCAAAAATAAAAAGTATGAAGATATTTTTTTTAAATTTCAAATAGGGTGTATATATTAGACTTAAAGTTAAAAAAGAAAAACAAATTTTTGAACTTCACTACATACTTTATACTATCAAATTTGATATCTAATGGCTATGAGTGATTGTGACTTTCTTCTAATAATAATAAATAGCCTCATAGGATATAATCTCGTCACAAAAGTGATTGTGATCTTCTTTTATTAAAAATAGTTTGTATGTTTATATACTTTTTCTAAAAAATGAACTATATAATTATCTTTGTTACAAGAAAAAAGATATGAGATCATATATTTATCTTTATTACAAGGATGTTACAATTGCTATTAGCTATTAGATGCCAAATTGAAGGCCTTAGAGTGTACCACAAAGTTTGAATTTTTTATTTTTTTGAACTTTGAGTCTAGTTAATGACGCACTTACAACCACCTAATTTAAAATCTAACAAACAATAATGATTGTAACCTTGTATTAAAGATAAATGGTATTTATTTACTTTATCAAAAAGAAAAATATAGAATGAGACCATTTACCTTTAGTACACACCCACACCCAAGCTATCAAATTTCATATCGGATGGTTGTAAATAATTGTGACCACCTTGTATCAAAGATAATTAATCTCATTATATTCAACTCCAATAAGGTCAAATTTTGGCCTAGCCATGATTTGAATAAGGGAAAAGTTTATATAAAGTTACAACCTTAAAATGTAAAATCACAAATGCACCTAAAAAATCTATCAAAAATGTTATTTTAATTTTGATCATCTCAACATTGAGATGCATGAATATGAAAAAAAAAAAAAGTTTTAGAAA